AAAGTTCTCTTACATTCTTCGCACTCCATATATAGACTAACATATTTAAGTGCGCTGTTGCCCTCAACCACACTTGGAGTGGGGGTCGTCCGTAGGTGGATTTTTGACGCGGGTCTTACCCCGTGTTGAGATTGCGCTGGAACCCCCATTCCCTATACTACTCTAGGTTTTAGTTATCTCTTTCTATTGGTAATAAGGCGTGAGGTAGTGAAGGGATCGCAAGAGAAATAGGCATTCTCCCCTTGTTAATGTTACTTCATGTTTTTGCGCAGCTTATGGCATCTATAACATCATTGCAAGTGTACAAAGCTGTAAAGAAAAACAAAACAAGGTGATCGAAGCTTTAAAGGAATACAGAAAGGTCGACAAAGCACTTGATGAATCAATTACCCAAGCTAAAGAAGCAAAGCAGTTGATTCAAGAGGTAAGTCAAATGTAACAGCGTAGCCACTGCAGCACGCTATTTTTCTGTTTAAAAAGGATAAACGACGCTATTTTATTCTAGAGAAATAAGGCATTTCTTTAAAGAAGTTCCGCAAGTCACTGGGTCAACAGAGAGCATTCAAACTCTAACCAGATGTATTTAGAAACAAATGCAACTCGCTTCTTATATGACCTGCATGGGGTTATATTATAACACTATGGCTTTTTTTCGCCTGTTATGAGACCTGTTTTGATACGTAAGGACACATAGATTACTGTACGCAAATAGACCGAATTGGAATATGGCGACCAATTAGAAAAGCTAATATTCTGCACTGACTAGCGACCGTGGAAACATAAAAGCGTTTTCACATGTATGAGAGAATAGTCAGTAGCCAGTCAGTCCAGAACAACACGCTTTCGCGTTCAGACATGATATCGAATGTAAAATTACTGATAAATGAATAAATAGTTCCTCAAATTGGTCGCCATATTTCGATTCAGGGTATGAGAACAGTAATTGTATTCATACGGCTTTTTCCATTCATGCCATGCACTTTTTAGATTGTTCCTTTCCACTTCTGACCTTCCTATTTTAGAGAGTTATGATATTTGATTGCAATCCTACCTAACCTTTGCAATAGAATTTTCATTGACCTATTATTACCATTTGCCTTAGGCATGGGAGAACATGAGAAAAGATCTCACAAGCCCTGAGTTCATGGATGATCTGAAGGAAGTCCAGAACGTTATTCTCAGTCTGTCCACTCAAAGTCAAGACCTCAAAATCGCGGCGGACAAAGTTCAAAAATACATCGAAAAAGCTAAAGTCGTGGATGGACAGAAGAGGCTGTATGAAATCATCAGGGAACTCTCTGAAGGTACTAAAAAATCTGTTTGCTGAAAGCTGTTATGAGTACGGCAGATTGCCGCTATATGGACCAGGGAAATGTTCGAAATAACATTAAGGTAAACGAAAAGAATAACTAGAAGTTTCTTGAGTAGAGTTAGTCATTAAACTGATGATGGACGATGGATATCGTCCGAAACATCTACTCAAGAAACTTCTAGTTAATCATTCTTTTCGTTTATAAACTTTTAGCCCAAAGAAACATATTAACATTAAGATAGCACATAATAACCAGCCACACCCCRATCTCATTGTGTAATGCGGTTGTTATCCTCAATGATGTCCCGGTACAGGTATTTATTTCAAAAATATAGACCTGTCCCGGGACATTCATATCAAATCAATATGAAATCCAAATCCATTGCTCCTAATTCACGGATCGGGGTTGGTTATTAAATCCGATCAAACACACGGGCAAGGGCATTCTTGAAAATAAAGGAGGAAAACCCCCTTCAAAAACAAAAAAAAAAAAAACCAAAAAAAAAACAAAAGAAAAACCCTCGAGGCACAGGAGAAAAAACAACAAATAACTTTTCTCACATACAACGCCGAGTCAGGAATTTGAACCCGCGTCGCATTGATGAAGTGAATGCTCTCGCCGCTACGCCACCCATGCCTGCTTTTGTTGTATACTCTTATGCTGAGCTGTTAATATCAATCGACGTCAATACTCTAACAAAGCTTTATTTGCACCCTGGATGTCCAGAAATGCCTTGCGACCCACGATGACTGCGATATCGTCAAAGTAGTTAATTGGTTGATATTTTTAAAGCAAGTTTTCTTACTCGACTTCTCTATACTCCAGGGCTCGGCTCCATCCCATTCACCCTCGACTGCTACACCGAGAAAGTGCAGATGGCTGAGTATGTCCTGCGTGAATGCAAACGAGGAACCGATTCCTTTGAAGCTTTATACAGCCAAGCAATTGAACAGTTTGATACGAAAGCCAAAAGCTGTGAAGATAAGGTAAGACTACATGAGCGAAGACTCGGGCTTTCTATACAATTTTAATGTGTGTTGTAGGTCTTCGCTATCATCGGTTTAGTAAGAACGCATACAATGCGCATGCACTTAGACACCGATTGCTTCGTGGAAGATAACGGGCTCAATCACAAGTTTTTCAAGATCAGAACGGATTCATATCGGGGAAAGGCAGTACCGCGTAAGAGCGCATGTCACCGACATGTATTTTTGGAGCTCGATGATGCATTGCGGTCTTGCATGAGTGCTAAAAGATGCAATCTTAAGGATCTCTTTAACTTGGTTGCAACGCTTTCCCATTTTAGAACACGTGTAATTCCCCATAGTATCATTTCTTTGTTTAACGATTGCGCAAGAGAAGACACATGAATAAGGATGCGTGCAGCTCAAACAAAGAATCGTATTCTCAATGCAATAGAATGACACATGGCCTGAAATGGGAAACTTATAGACCAAGATGAAAAGGTATTTAGACCCCTTGCGTGTGTCATCAAAGCAGCTAAATTTGGAGGACAAAACAAATTAATTTCAATCTCTTGAGAATCAAAAACCTATTGTTATACAACGTGCTGCAAGGGCCTCTGGTAGGCAATAGAGTTGGTATAAGAGAGCATTTAATTACTCACAGATTTCATCAGTAAGGACAACTGCTTTAATTATACAGACATGTCTCGGGAGTTCGTTTCCCATCTTCATTGTATACCAGTGGTGATCAAATTTTCTAAGCTTGAATATTGAGCATCTCTGCTTAAATATTGTCCATAAATGAATAAGTATTACATCATTTCCGGTAACGCGGTAACTTCTTTGGGCATGAGTCTACGGCACACTGCCTCCTTTTACCGCCATTTCTGCTAGCTGGTGGTTCTTCACACCAGACTTCCCATGCTACTCCAGTTCAAAAAGAAATTACCTTGTGATAGCGGTATTGACTTCACCTTTACTGTGTATATGTTTCGAAAACTTGCACTCGTGGCCCAAAATATTGAAACCTGTTTACAGTCACCTATCCCGTTCACAGCGAACATAACTTTCCCAATTCAATTAATCAATGTTATCATAGTTAATGGAGCGGAATGGTTTGGAAACTCCATAGAACAAAGCTATTGTTTTGTGTTTGACGTTGAACCGTACCATCACGTGATACTGACCTTGCACAATGAACCAAAGCAAGTATGGCTGAAAATACTGATTTCCTTATTATTTCTATGTATGAACACTTTGAAAGTGAAAACTTTCATTCGATGACCATAAACCATGCGAATTAATATTTCTGCGCAGATACAGTAAAGTTACTAGATGATAAATAAGAAAGCATGAAAAAAGGCAATTTCCTTTCCAATAAACAATTAATATTAATCATATAGGATTAACTAACAAATAATAAGTATTTTAGAGCCTTTTTTTAGGTTTAAAAACTCCTATATTCCCGAATACTATGAAGAAACGGAGCAACGTTTCCTTCTCTGTGCTGAGTCAACGTCATATAACAATGGGTAAAGTCGAACAAAAACATAGAACAATAGGTTTCCCAACCATTCCGCTCCAATAGCTATGATGTTATACATTATTTGTTCAAGGCGACTCAGAGTTCCTAAATATCATTTCTAGATTGGATATGCTCACATTGAAGAACCAGCTATCAAAATCGGGTTGGCAGAACTAACGCAGAAAGAAAACTTCCAAGAAGATTGTATACTGAACTCGCCTTTGCGAAAATCACTGGCCTGCAAATACAAGAGCGAAAAGTACAGCGATAAAGAAATTGCTGAGAAGTAAGAAGATAATTATTATAAAGATAATAATAATAATTAATAATATCAATGATTATTATATAGTTAGGTAATTTCGCGCACTTTTATTGGCCAATTTGCGGTCTATAACTTACAGTACGGACCACGATCCCAATTTTTGTGTTCCCCTTGCCATATAATCTGTACACGTCTTATTTACTTCGCTTGCTCTGTCCGTACGTAAGTTATGGAACCTCTTTCCATACCTACGAATCCTCGYGCCCCATCATGAGCACTCTTTGATGCTATTTCTAGAATCTTTGATGCTATTTTTAGAATCATTAATTTGAACGTTTGATTTTCTGCACCCGCGTACTAAGCGTGCTCTACACTGTTAGCTTATGTTTTCTTTTGTTTTTCAATAAAACGTAAGCAAACAGCGCAGAAAAACAAACGATGACAAATGGTTCTAAAAATAGCATCAAACGGTGCTTATGATGGTTACAAGCATGAATACCAGAGTTTTCTAGTCTTATCTAATTTTCTCTTGATCACACTCATTAACGTATGGGAAGTATAAACTTTGATATCTCCAAGTTGCATCACTCAAATCATATGAATATATTTTACCATTCAACTATTCACTTCATGTAAAAAAATACTGAAAATATTGAAATATCGATTCCGTCAATCAAATAAATTGGTCGGTACCTTTATATTCTCCGATTGGCGGCAGTGTATTGCCCTGTATTTCCCCGTTGCGACTGTTGTTTCGATCAGCTCGTAGCAATGAAAAGAGTGGTAAAGTGCCTATAACACAGGCCATGACTCAATATTTTCAGTATTGATTCTACATGAAGTGAAAACCGTTCAAATTAATGATTCTTAAAATAGCATCAAATATTCTAAAAATAGCAGTGACAAGAGTGATAAACTAACACCGTACATGTCTGTATTATGTAGGATTGAAGGCGTTTCAGAAGAACAGGTCGAGTTTCTAACCAAGGACTGCCCGAAGTCTTCTCTTTCCCCAGCAGAAAAGACACGCGTGTGTAACTTAAGAAAAGCGGATAAGACATTATTTACAGATGAGAAGATCGCTTCGACACTGGGCCTCAATGTAGACGACGTTAAGTCAGTTAAATGTTAAGAGGTGCATCTTAAAAATCACAGGAAGCCCAAAATTGATCAAACAGTTTGAAACTGGAAGCCCGAGTTTGGAAAAGAAAATGATAGACCTCAGGAAGTACATTGTAATGATTTAGTTCGTATTTTAGTCTGTAGTCTGTTGACATGAGTTGTTTTGTGAAGGCGATTGTAGTTGTATAAATAAATCAGACCGTACGGCATTATGAAAACATGTGGGTATGACCTTTTACATACCCTACCCCAGACTAAAACTAAGAATTGTACACCCTATCCCAGACTAAATGAAGGAAAAGACGGTTATTCAATAGATTGCAATCAATATTTACTAACGTTTTTATTGTTTTTGTGCCGGCAGAAAGCGTAGACTATTCGCCAGACAAAAACGACCTAACCGTTAACCCTATCCCAGACAAAAATGATATCCTATCCAAGACCAAATGTCAAAAAAGGATACCCTACCTTAAGCCCAAAAGCCGAAAAACCATACTCTATAGGGCGACACATGCCCGTATAGCAAATATAGGGGAGTAAAACTAAAAAAACTGCTCTATATTGAAGTTTATTCTGCTAAACAAAGAAATACCACTCAAGAGAATGCGATACGAGGCCAGGAAGCTAACACTCTTTTCATTTTCAATGCTCAGTGAGTGCGATCACTATGGTCAGCAGCAGCATCAGGTAGAGGACGGGTTTTGCCGCAACAGGAACCGATGCTGAGATATGCGAGACATCCCAGGTGACCACGTGGTCTTTGGTAATGTCTAATTGCAATCCATTGATCTTCAAAGCCTAAAGTTATTAATGAAGTTGATTTTAGTTGGCATTTGGTATATGACTTGACAACACGATACATGCTTCCGTTAAAAAATGAATTGGAAAATGAATTTAAAAAATGAATAAATTTAAAATAAGAAAGTCAAAAATTATATATAAAAAAAACAACAAACAAACAAACAAAAAAAAAAACAACAAGCAAACAAACAAACAAACAAAAAAAACAAAAAAAAAACAAAACAAAACAAAACAAAACAAAACAAAACAAAACAAACAAAAAAATCAAAAAACATTTGGCAGGGCTGACCCGACTTCTTAAGAGAGAAAATTACGAAGGAATTAATTGCCAATTATTTTAACAAAGGCAACCAAGATGGCGGCTATGATATCATGTGCAAACAAAGAATTTACCTGAGTCTTTTCGGTGATGGTACTATTTTTAGTGACGTCATTTCCGTTAGCTTTCACCCACGAGATCTTATTGGTTTTTAGTCCATAAACGTAGACAGAACCCCATACAATATCCTTGGCACCGTCGTAGCTGTTTTTCACAACGGAGAATTTGACTGACGTCTGAGAAAACGTTTAATCGGTTAGAATTGTTCGTTTCAAATTTACCTGTTAATATGCTGTATCGCTACCCAACAAAACGAATGAAAGTCACAGGTTTTGACAGTATTGATATTTTTCGGTCGACTTTGGGAAATGAATTTACAAACATATCAGTCGTTCATGCTTCATAAGAGTGTATACGTAACCTCTCTTTTATGAGATTTTTGTTTTGTTATAATTACAATAAATTTTGATATGTTTTTCTTTTTATTATTGTTTTTTCCTCGTCAATTTTAATGTTAATCATGTTTGTACTGTATGTAAATCGTATGGAGAGGGAATATCAATTGGGACGAAAGTTCTGTTTTCTTCGCCAGTCACAAAATTTGTATGCCTCAAGTTTCATAAAATGTATATGTTTATATTGTGACAAATAAACTATTCTAAATCAATAAAAATGAATGAATGACCAGAATGTTGAAAGAGAAAGAACTCAGAACTCCTTTAACCTCTCGTCATTCGATCATTCATTTTCATTATCATATGAATGTCTCAGAGTACACACGTATGAATGCTCTCATAAGCGGTCACGATTGTACTGTCTCACCTTGTCGGCCGTGAAGTTCACAAGCAAATACTGTCCATTCTCAAATGTATCTGGAAAGCAACGACAATGAATATTGAACAAACTGTTCAGCAGCAAGTTTATGGAATCATCGGGCTGGGATCGGGCTGGGATCGGGCTGGGATCGGGCTGGGATCGGGCTGGGATCGGGCTGGGTCTGGGCTGACTCAAACGTCGAACTTATTTATCTCGATCTTAACACAAAGAAAACCAAACAAATCATGTTCAATGTTTATGTAGTAAGCGGTTACACCATCATAATGCCATTCCATAATCAAATCATGAGCTGCAGCATTGTACTGCAGCAGCCATATCATGATTTATGCATCATAGATCGGCTCATGTGAGGTTCGACGTTTGACCCCAAGTCGATCTACAGTCGTTCTTCCAGACTGACCTAGTCGTGAAGATCGACAAGGCGGATAACAAGGCAGTCTTCTTTGATGTCATTAGGTTCGACCCATATGAAGTTCGACGTTTGACCTGAGCCTTAGTCGGTCCAAATTCAATTAAAATTAAAATTGGGTCAATGGTCGGACTTCACATGAACTTATGTTGAACGATTAAGTTCGGCTCATGTGAAGTTCGACGTTTGACCTGAGCCTAAGGCTGAGGAGAGAGAACTCAAAATAAGCCTGAAGCGAGATGACGTTTTACCCCCGTCTCTAGACCATAATAGTTTTAAAAATTCTTTCWTATTAAAATTTTTGATTCCTTAGAGAATACAGGAACAATAGTCATAATTAAAGAACAAAAGCAGTGTGAAAAGGATTATGGTCTAGAGACGGGGGTAAAACGTCATCTCGCTTCAGGCTTATTGGAGTATCACCAATCCTTCTCAAACTCATTAATATTCATTAGGTCAATGACCAATGGTGACTTTGCATTGTAGTCACGTGCACGCACCTTGATACTTGATAAAAAACGGATCAAGACACTGATCAAAACACTGATCACTTTTTTAGTCTCAGTAGATTCAAGAACAAATGAATTATGATAAGACTGAGAAGTAAGTTTGAAAACTCGTGCTTCGTGTTTGATCAGGGCATCCAAACACCGAGAAACAATAATAGCACTGGGATTAACGGCCTCCTGCTTTCATCTGTTTCTCGGTGTTTGGATGTCAGTCCTGACCAAACACTCGCACTCGTTTTTGATCTATAACCTAAAATATGAAATATGTAACCGAAACGCCTGTTTAAAAATTGTAAATTTCGCAACTAGTCAGAGGCAATATAAAGCATAATAATGAAATGTGTTATGTTTACCGATACTCTCGCCGTCATCCCAGAACATCTGTCCTTTGGCTTTGTAATCATCACTCATGGCGACCACGATACCCATCTTGTTCTTACGGCTTCAAAGAGACGAATAAGAAATTATCTTAAAATCAAATGAGAGCCAAAAAATACGCACAATTTAGGTTTCAGATACTTGACATTTGGTATTTGAAATTTGAAATATGTCGAAAGTAGATCTGATATGATCAAGTCGTTTTTCTAAGGTTCTATTCGCACTAGGCAGATAACATATTTTTGGCCTTTTTAACACCCCACTAATTAAGGTTTGCCCTAAGGGACGGACCATTAGAGTATTGGGGGGGGGGGGGGGGGGGGGGGGATTGGGTGGCATACGTAAATTTTAGTTTGACCTGTGTCCCAAAGCTGGCCAATGCACAAACAATGCACATTTTATGCATCATGGCTTTGGCATGTTGTTAATCTAGGTCGACTGACTTTGCTCTACTGCGCATTTTTACATGTCTATATGCAAATATAATACACATTTTGGAGTACCCAAAGTTCTTTTCGGTCTTAAATACGATGATATGACCTTCTCGAACCCGACTACGTTTTTTCAATTAGGCGTAGATAGCATTTTGTGTTTAGACATAAGACAAGGACTGGGCTTCATCTCCTTGCCGGGTTCTTCCCCTCTCCCAACGTCCATGCTACTTCAAGTTATTCCCTTGCTTACCTAAGCATTGTATTCCTGGCTGGTTCCTGGGTGGGTACCACGTGACCACCTCTGACATGTACGTGAATGTAGTCCAAGGGAGCTTCCAAGGTTAAAAAGTTTTTGCGGCCTGCGCCAGGGCGTTCCTTACCCTAATATAAAATTGTAAATCGATCAGTTAAACGACCCTGTGATCAGATAAGGAAGGTATCTCTTTATCCTGGACGTAATGATTTGCCCTTTTCAAACAGCGTGTCATTCCCTTGACTATCATTTCTTTGATTGGATGCAAATGATAAAAAAAGAATCCTATTCTCAAAGAAATAACACGTGGTCTGAAATGGGTAAATCAAACGCCCAAGCTAAAGGAGTCTAGTTATAGAGATATAGACTCTTTTATATGTGAAAAAAAAAAAAAAAAAAAATCATTGCTTTGTCCTCCAGAACAAATCCTTTCGAGAGTCAGTGCAAGGGATCTATAAGAAAAAATAGTCTGCGCATGCATTCTATTCACAGTTTTTTTGTGAGGTTTTTACATGCCTTATTAGGTAAAACCAGCCAGCTTTGCATCCAAATACTGGTATGTCAGTTTAACGTAAAAAAAGGCTATGCAGTGCTGTTTTTCAATCATCCCCAAGGAAGTGAAATAACAAAAGACACGGCGTCCATGTTGGATGAAATAACAAAAGAATCGAATTCATTGACAATCCTTTTGTTAAATTCAACTTGGCGACTATGACGTCATATGCAAACGAAGAATAGAAGTATCACCTTCACCTATCTTTCTCGGGCCTTTTGGCACATAAGGCATTAGCATAGCTGGCTTTCACTCAGCTTTCACTCAGCTGATAAAAGTTTTTGAATCTCATTGTCTGCTCCCAATGGTTGTCAAACACTGACCACCATGTGCTGTCAGCCAGAAAGAATTCTATTGAAAACTTGCGATTCAGCTGATGAACATTCCACACTAGACGAAATTACGTCACTAGTGCAACCCAGCAATAGGAGTATGCGAATACATTAAACGTGGTCACGCTTTTACGCGTTGGGCTGTAAAACTAAACAATGCACAAAGATAGAATGAAACAATGGAGGTTGTCACATAGAAGTAAACCTAATAAAACGGTATCGTAACGTGTGCTGAGATGCACGTGTGTGGCTTACCGTGTCGTACTGGAACCAACGATCGTCTGGTACATAAGCTCTTACACTTCGTCCACCCTTGAACATCAATAAATAAGTAAGGTTTAAAAAGTTTAAAACTGAAACTGAAACTAACTAAAGGCGCGATTACACGGAGCAGATCTATCTGCAACGGTGTTGCATGACAAGGTGCAGGATTTGTTTCAAAAAGTAGAATTCGTTTTTAATTTTGGCAACGATTGCGTCTCCGTTGTACCGTGTAAACACTCCAGCAACTTGTGTCACGACGCTGTTGCAAGACAAGTATATGGCTATTGAAAGAGTTACATTTAATTCTCGTCCTTTTGTCTGGCTATCCCTTTTCATAGCGTATGCCGGATCTGCGAAGGCTTGGTTGAAAACTCCCTACCCTCGTTCGGTCCCCCTCGCCCCCCCCCCCCCCCCCCCCCCCCCCCCCCCCCCCCTCCCTCCCCCCCCCCCCCCCCCCCCCCCTCCTTTCATCTTCTCATACATCGTTCATTACGTGAATTGCTTCTTTCACCTAATCTTTCTATCTCTCTCACGTCCCCTCTTCATATCTCTGTATACTTTAGAGTCCATCAAAACTTTTCGGATTCCTAAATTCAATTTAGCTAAGCCGAATCTAAAGAGATGGGAAAGGCTGAGAACGACAAAATGGAAAGAGAACTGCTCCCTCCTCTCTCGATCTATCCTATATTTCACCTCGAGTTTTTGTTTTCAGCCTGGTTGGCTAGTATTGTCTTATTTGAGTCAAAACTCACCTTCTCTAAGACAGGTGATACCAATAAGGCGGGTCCCCACAGGAACTCTTTATCAATATCCCACGTGTTCTTGTCAGAGGTAAACCTAGGCGGGAAATAACACAGGATGACTTGAATTGTTGTAAAGCCAATAAAAAGGCGCGTGTGTAGTATACAGTTATTTCAAAAAAGGTTTTTGGAGATTTATTTGCATATGGCATGTTGCATTCCACATGTCGCATACATCATGCTGCATGTCTCATGTTGCATGATGCGTGTCTAAGGTTGCATGTCACATATACAAGTTCATGCTTCATGTTGGATGTTGCGTGTCTCATGCTGCATGTCACATAGGCATGTTCCATGCTTCATGTTGCATGTCTCATGTTGCATGTCTCATGTCCCATATTGCATGTTGCGTGTCTCAGGTTGCATGTCACATATGCACGGTGCATGCATGTTACTTACTAAGTTTGAAACGTTCATATTCATATGTAAATACTGTCGTCAGAGGAAGAAACTATGATTACTAGATCGTAAGTAGGCTATTACGATTGCGATTCCGATGCTAATGTGAAAAAATCTTTAAATGTCCGCGAAAATGAATCAAGAGGATTACTTACTCGCTCATAAGAGATCTTACAACTGTAGCACCAGTCCTCCTTGACTCGTAGAACAAGGTGTACAAATACGGGAGAAGGGAATAGCGCATCCTCAACACTTTACGAGATGCTTTTGCAAGATTGGGACCAAACGCAGTTGGATCTTGAGCCTAAAAAAATACACATGATGTACATTACATTTTGTTCTGTTATCTCTTCCCTTCCCTTCCCTTCCCTTCCCTTCCCTTCCCTTCCCTTCCCTTCTCTTCTCTTTCAACGTTTCTCGCCA